CCTGTGTTCCGGGCTGCCTGCCCTGAGCTTTTGTCCACACTCTCCAGCTCAGTCACACGGTTCTGCAGAGACTCCACGCTGCTCTTCATGCTATCTGCTTCCTCCCAGCTCTGCCGGAAGGGGCGGATCTCTTTGTCCAGCTCTTTCAGCTTCTCTGCTTGGCTGTCAATCACTCGCTTCCAAATCAAAGGCATCGAAAAAGCAAAACACAGTGAGAACCTTGGAAATGCTGGGCCAGTGCTATCGGAAACTGCGTCAGGGCGGGGCAGGCAGCAGGGCCAGCCCACAGCCCCACACCTGCCCACACAGGCATCTCATCTGACACCCCGTGTATCTCAGGCACGTAGGTAACGAGGATCCCTACTTCCCAGAGGAGGAACCCAAGGCACAAGAGGCAGGGCAGGCAGCCCCAAATCACTCTGTCCTAGAGTCTCAGGTTCAGGATGCTGGAGGGACACCCATCGGGGCAGTGTCCCTAAAAGCTCACGCCATCTGCAGGGGCCAAACAACGTAGGCCTCTGAACTGGCTGCCAGGCCCAGGGCTGGGAGCCGCCCTGTCTCTATAGCTGCAGAGAGCACCCAGAATCCTGCCTGGGCTCCGGGAGAACCGCCACCACCGTGCCACCTGCTCCAGAGACCCAAGCGTCTGCACAGGGCCAGCAGCAGGGAAGGGCCCTGGGGTGGGTTCCTTAGACCCTGGGTGAAGCCAGGGGGCCAAAGCCTAGGCAGGTGGGTGGGCAGGGGTTGCTTCCGCCACTGCTCTGTGCTCAGTGCCGCGTGCCTATCAGGCCACAGGAACTGCTGGTCCCCACGTGCTGTCCACAGCGAGGTGGACTTGGTGCTATTTTAATTTAGATAATTCAGAAAATCTTTCTCCCAGAAACACACAGACCATTTACATCTCTAACAGGGACTGGAGGGAGGAGACAACAGTCCAACTGTGGTGCCTGCCTGTTCTGAAGGGCCAGCCTGCCCACTGCCTAGACGAGACGAAGCTGGGACCTAAAGATTTTCACTCTGAAAAGAATTTGCATTTGTGAAACGAAGCCTGCGGAGGCTGGGCAGTGCACCCCGTTAAACTAGGGGGTGGGGCGGGGCCAAGCTCACTTCTCCTTTCGAGAGACTATTTTTAAACCTTGGGGGCTGTCGCCCACTGTGAGGAGCAGGTGTGGCCGGTCTGGATCACGTTCTGGGTAGAAGCACGGTGCTCCTTCTTCTCTTCCAAGGCCTGGCCTCAGCTGACACTGAAGCAGTGAAGGCGGCCCTGCTGGAGGGCAGCTGCGCTGAGGGGGGGCCCTGTGATTTACTTCTACATGCACTCGGCTGGAGGCACATCTCACCAGTCCCCAAGTCTGCCTTCTGGGCCCAGCACCCTCCACAGACGAGCATCAGACCCAGAGGTGCTCCTGGTAAACTAACTGTTCCCATGGGCTCTCCCTACTGAAGCGGCACCTGACTCAACAGGGACACGAGGGTTACAAAGGGAAGTGAACGAGACCCGTGGCAACCGTGACAGTCCTGAGTGAGGCCCGGAGGGAGCCAGGAGCTGCCGCGAGGCCCAGGACAAGCCCCAGTCACTTGGAGCCTCCTGCACCCACCCCCTCCAGCCCAGGTGAAAAAAGGGTGACACTGAGCTGCCCCCTCCCTGACTGGCGGGTGCCTGGGGCAGCGGCCTGCAGGCATGTGGTCACCTCAGGGACAGAACAGTGGAGTCTGAACAATGAGCTAAGGTACTGACAACAAGGCCCTGGCTCCCTCCCAGGACCACGGAGCCAGCACGTGGGCGCAGGGGCAGGCGGCCATGCACACACACATGCACACCAGCACACACACGCACACACGTGCACACCAGCACACACACATGCACACACGCACACACACACGCACACCAGCACGCGCACACACATGCACACCAGCACACACACGCACACCAGCACACACGCACACACACATGCACACCCACACACACATGCACACCAGCACACACACGCACACACGTGCACACCAGCACACACATGCACACCAGCACACACATGCACACCAGCACACACACGCACACACGTGCACACCAGCACACACACATGCACACACGCACACACGCACACCAGCACGCACGCACACACACATGCACACCAGCACACACACATGCACACACGCACACACACACGCACACCAGCACGCACACACACATGCACACCAGCACACACACGCACACCAGCACACACGCACACACACACATGCACACCAGCACACACACGCACACCAGCACACACGCGCACACACATGCACACCAGCACACACGCACACCAGCACACACGCACACACACATGCACACCAGCACACACATGCACACCAGCACACACACGCACACCAGCACACACGCACACACACATGCACACCAGCACACACATGCACACCAGCACACACATGCACACCAGCACACACACGCACACACGTGCACACCAGCACACACACATGCACACACGCACACACGCACACCAGCACGCACGCGCACACACATGCACACCAGCACACACGCACGCACANACTCTGAAAAGAATTTGCATTTGTGAAACGAAGCCTGCGGAGGCTGGGCAGTGCACCCCGTTAAACTAGGGGGTGGGGCGGGGCCAAGCTCACTTCTCCTTTCGAGAGACTATTTTTAAACCTTGGGGGCTGTCGCCCACTGTGAGGAGCAGGTGTGGCCGGTCTGGATCACGTTCTGGGTAGAAGCACGGTGCTCCTTCTTCTCTTCCAAGGCCTGGCCTCAGCTGACACTGAAGCAGTGAAGGCGGCCCTGCTGGAGGGCAGCTGCGCTGAGGGGGGGCCCTGTGATTTACTTCTACATGCACTCGGCTGGAGGCACATCTCACCAGTCCCCAAGTCTGCCTTCTGGGCCCAGCACCCTCCACAGACGAGCATCAGACCCAGAGGTGCTCCTGGTAAACTAACTGTTCCCATGGGCTCTCCCTACTGAAGCGGCACCTGACTCAACAGGGACACGAGGGTTACAAAGGGAAGTGAACGAGACCCGTGGCAACCGTGACAGTCCTGAGTGAGGCCCGGAGGGAGCCAGGAGCTGCCGCGAGGCCCAGGACAAGCCCCAGTCACTTGGAGCCTCCTGCACCCACCCCCTCCAGCCCAGGTGAAAAAAGGGTGACACTGAGCTGCCCCCTCCCTGACTGGCGGGTGCCTGGGGCAGCGGCCTGCAGGCATGTGGTCACCTCAGGGACAGAACAGTGGAGTCTGAACAATGAGCTAAGGTACTGACAACAAGGCCCTGGCTCCCTCCCAGGACCACGGAGCCAGCACGTGGGCGCAGGGGCAGGCGGCCATGCACACACACATGCACACCAGCACACACACGCACACACGTGCACACCAGCACACACACATGCACACACGCACACACACACGCACACCAGCACGCACACACACATGCACACCAGCACACACACGCACACCAGCACACACGCACACACACACATGCACACCAGCACACACACGCACACCAGCACACACGCGCACACACATGCACACCAGCACACACGCACACCAGCACACACGCACACACACATGCACACCAGCACACACATGCACACCAGCACACACACGCACACCAGCACACACGCACACACACATGCACACGAACACACACATGCACACCAGCACACACACGCACACACGTGCACACCAGCACACACACATGCACACACGCACACACACACGCACACCAGCACGCACACACACATGCACACCAGCACACACACGCACACCAGCACACACGCACACACACACATGCACACCAGCACACACACGCACACCAGCACACACGCGCACACACATGCACACCAGCACACACGCACACCAGCACACACGCACACACACATGCACACCAGCACACACATGCACACCAGCACACACACGCACACCAGCACACACGCACACACACATGCACACGAACACACACATGCACACCAGCACACACACGCACACACGTGCACACCAGCACACACACATGCACACACGCACACACACACGCACACCAGCACGCACACACACATGCACACCAGCACACACACGCACACCAGCACACACGCACACACACACATGCACACCAGCACACACACGCACACCAGCACACACGCGCACACACATGCACACCAGCACACACGCACACCAGCACACACGCACACACACATGCACACCAGCACACACATGCACACCAGCACACACACGCACACCAGCACACACGCACACACACATGCACACGAACACACACATGCACACCAGCACACACACGCACACACGTGCACACCAGCACACACACATGCACACACGCACACACACACGCACACCAGCACGCACACACACATGCACACCAGCACACACACGCACACCAGCACACACGCACACACACACATGCACACCAGCACACACACGCACACCAGCACACACGCGCACACACATGCACACCAGCACACACGCACACCAGCACACACGCACACACACATGCACACCAGCACACACATGCACACCAGCACACACACGCACACCAGCACACACGCACACACACATGCACACGAACACACACATGCACACCAGCACACACACGCACACACGTGCACACCAGCACACACACATGCACACACGCACACACACACGCACACCAGCACGCACACACACATGCACACCAGCACACACACGCACACCAGCACACACGCACACACACACATGCACACCAGCACACACACGCACACCAGCACACACGCGCACACACATGCACACCAGCACACACGCACACCAGCACACACGCACACACACATGCACACCAGCACACACATGCACACCAGCACACACACGCACACCAGCACACACGCACACACACATGCACACCAACACACACATGCACACCAGCACACACACGCACACACGTGCACACCAGCACACACACATGCACACACGCACACACACACGCACACCAGCACGCACACACACATGCACACCAGCACACACACGCACACCAGCACACACGCACACACACACATGCACACCAGCACACACACGCACACCAGCACACACGCGCACACACATGCACACCAGCACACACGCACACCAGCACACACGCACACACACATGCACACCAGCACACACATGCACACCAGCACACACACGCACACCAGCACACACGCACACACACATGCACACCAGCACACACATGCACACCAGCACACACATGCACACCAGCACACACACGCACACACGTGCACACCAGCACACACACATGCACACACACACACACGCACACCAGCACGCACGCACACACACATGCACACCAGCACACACACATGCACGCACGCACACACACATGCACACCAGCACGCACGCACACACACATGCACACCAGCACGCACGCACACACACATGCACACCAGCACGCACGCACACACACATGCACACCAGCACACACGCACACACACACGCACACCAGCACGCACGCACACACACATGCACACCAGCACACACACATGCACGCACGCACACACACATGCACACCAGCACGCACGCACACACACATGCACACCAGCACGCACGCACACACACATGCACACCAGCACGCACGCACACACACATGCACACCAGCACACACGCACACACACACGCACACCAGCACACACACGCACACACGTGCACGGGCACACACATCCACTCAGACACATACTCACACAGATGGGGCTCAACCAAATCAGGTATAAGGAGCTCCACACAGCGAGGGAACTGCTATTTTTAAGTGACCTTTCATCTGTGTAGCGGCACTGTTTCGAAGCAGAGCGCAGGCCTAATCCAAGCTTTCTCTGCAGACACAGCAATGGTGATGTCATCCTGAGGAACAGTCTCCCCTCAGCCATGCAGTGTTCTCATAAGAATAAACCTTAAAAGCAGGTGTGGGACTTTATCAGGAGAAACTAGTTCAGGAGCTGAGACACCGGCGCAGACCACACACCACGTAATAAGCCAGGGCAGGTCCTGCTCTCAGAGCACCGGCTTCTGGCCGGCACAGCACACTCTAGAGCTAATGCACCTGCCTCATCTGTCTCCCCGCACCATTCGCCCCAGGGGATCCACGAGACAGTGCAGGTAGTGCTCATGGCCTGGAGCATGCTCCACGTCCTTCCCGCAGACCTGAGGCCACCAGAGCCATGGGTCCTCCCTAGGCCCTCCTGATAACGGGACGTTGGCCCTAAGTGCACACCCAGGCTGCCTTTCTAATCAGGAAAGAGGTTTAAAAAGTCAAATATTAAGGAACTACCCTTCCTGGGCCAACAAAGCTGACACTCTCAACTTCCACTCCCTGACTTGTCTTGACTGTCTGACTGCACGCCATCCGTGTGTCCAGGGCCAGTGGGAGCCCTGTGCTCAGATGCGCTGCTGGTGCCTTCAAGATTTTAGGGTCCACGGGAGAATCAGACCAGGAAGGAGACCGTACAGAGTGTGACATGCCTGTCATCGCCGGGGGGTGGGGGTTCTGATGCACAGGGCTGGGAGCACCGAGAAGGGTGGGGGTGGGCAAGGCTCCCTGGAGAAGGTGGCACTGACACCCTCTCTGAGGGGAGCCAGTCAGGAACGGCAGGTGGGGGAGACCTATTCCTCTGTGCTGAGGAGTCAGGTGACACAGTGGCCAGTTCTATAAGGGTTTCTGGCCACAGTATAACGTTTAAGACAAACTCTTCTCTGGGCAGCTGGAAGGGTTCTGCGCTGAGGAAGGAAATAACACAGGTGCATGTCTGTGCCAGGCTGGGCTGCGGGTGGGGGGCCTGCAGGGACAGGGAGGAAGCGCCTCCCTCAGAGCTCGACAGCAGGCCTGCGGCCTCGGGGGTTTCTAAAGAAAGGACAGTCAGAGCCTCTCTCCTCCTGGCCAACCACCAGCCACCTCCCGGTGGGGTCAGAGTTCCACTGTCTCTCCCGGCTGGATTCTACCTGAACCTCCAGGGACTGGGTTCTGCCTCAGCCTCAGCAGGTTTTAGGGCCTGAAGCCCAGGAGATCATGAGCTGAACCTCCAGTTGGGTTGGAGTCCTGTGCAAATACAGCCTGTCTCCCCCATGGTCCTCTCTCTGGAGGACACGAACAAGCTCCAACCCTAACTCTACCCCTAACCCTAACCGCAATCCTAACTATAACCCTAATCGTAACCCTACCCTAACCCTAACCCCACCCTAACCCTAACCCTAACCCTCTCACCTCGCAGCCCTGCAACCTGGCTTCTCCCTTCTTAGATCTCATGGGTCTATTCAATCACAAAGTTTTAAACTATAAACCACACACAGTAGAACTATTAGCTCTACAGAAAAGTAACAAAATCCCAACTTTCCTCAGTGGGATTAGAGGAAGTGAGTGCAGAGGGAGTCTGGAGGTTGCAGATGAGGGCATCTGTGACCTTGTTATTAGGCTCCCACGCTTTTGTTATACACGATCCCACTACTCATCTGTTCTTTCTTCAGCAGTTGTTATTTTTAACAAGAGGTAATTTCCTCGGCCTTCCCATGAGCCCTGAGCCCCAGGTCAAACACAGCAGCTCCATCTGCAGCAAACGGCTCCCCTGCTCCCCAGGTAGGTGAGGGCTGGTGGGGACAGGCCCGTGGGGACGCCCTGACCACCGTCTCCGGGGCCTCAGCAAAACGTCAGGACTTTCTGCAAGAGGCTTGTTGGTGTTTTACGAGACGCTGTACTTTCTGGCGTATTCAACACTAAGGACTTGTATCTTCCCTAATACAACCTAATATTTCACTGTGTTCTTCCTCATCTCTCAAAGTTCAGTACAAACGAAGTTAACGTAATAAATCCCTGTGTAACCCTGAGGCACTATGACTAGTCTCCAATGTTAAAATGGGGGGAAAGGCATTCCTAAAGGTGCTGTGACTGAGCTACGAGGAAGATTCTCTTTTCCAGGTAATTTAGGGAAACACCCTACGTACAAGCACTAAAAACCACTTGGCAGTGTCCTGGAGTTACTATGACTAACCAGAGCGGGAGCAAACGGCTGCGCAGACAGCAGCCACAAAGGCAACACGCTGACAGGACGGGGGAGACCTGCGTCTGTAACAGGCGAGGAGCAACACTGTACCCAGGCCCATCGCATGACCGCCTCCAGAGCAGCAAAGGGCTGGATCCAAGGGAGTATGTGGGCCACTGGAAAATTGGGGACAAGAGTCTGGCTTCACTTCACTTTAGGAAGTGGAACTTTATACATAACTACTCATGAACAATATGAAATCTTAAATAATAATAAAAACAGCTAATTTTTAAAATCACGGGCTTTAAGGCTTGTTGCACCAACAGCGGATCAAAGGCACAGAGAGAGGGGAAAGGAGGGCAAGAGCCCTGGCTGGGCCCGCGCTGGTCCAGGCAGCAAGGGAGACCCAGCACCTCCCTCTGACAAGGGTTGGGGCTCTTGCTCACACCGTCCTGGGACGTGCTCCTCCACCCTCTCATCCAGCCACAGTCCTAAGCCTCCTACCTGTAAATGAAGTATTTTGGATTCGTTATTTCGCAGCATCTCCTTTTGTCTCTCAATTTCGATTTCAAAGCTGCATATCTGATTGTGCAGACTCTGTATACTCTTGTTTTTTTCCACACTTTCATTCTGCAGCAAGGACACCTGGGAAAGAAATTCTTCAATTAAGCAAACAAAATGTGGTTTTAATTTAATTAATAACAGTTACGATAATTAAATTTCCACAATATAGGCCGCTTCTTAGGTCACTGGAAGGAGTCCCAGAAATAAAAAATCCCTTCACACAGGAAACGGAAGCTCTGGTAACTAAACAGGGAACCCCACACACTGCTCCTCTCGGCATCTCTCCGGGTAATTAAATGAGATGAGGCGAACTGCAGCCGCTGAACTTCCAGTGAACGGGGCGTTTCCCAGGCTTTGCTGAAAACGAATAAATCTTTTACCAGACAGGCTTTTAAACTCTGACCAGGACACACACTCTCACATGTCACCCATCTGTCACGTGTGTGCATGCGTGAGTGCACCTAAAAAGCAGGTGTCACAAACCACCCTTGTGCTCATCACTCACAACGCATCTTGATATTTTATATTTTATTCTGTTTTTGCTTAAAAAAAAAATGCTAGTTGCAGCCCACTAAACTATTTCACATCTACCACTGGGCTATACTCTACACTCTGAAACTCTCCCAACACAAGGAGGAAGCCCGATGAGAACAGAAAAAGACAGAGACACGGGCCGCGGCCTCCACGAGCTCGGCGCACTCACCTGCAAGGCCTTGTCAGTCCAAGGCAGGCCCAAGCCCACCTTCGACTTTTTCAAAATCTCTTTCTGAGAAACAATTAGCTCCCAAGAGCCAACTTAGATGGGCCTAAGGCACCCGGGGTGAGGATCAGAGGGCAACTCCTTCAGGGCTTCGCCGTGAGATTTCTGTATGGGGCAGCTGGCCCCGAAAGGCCGCCTTCCCCCAGGTGTCTCCGCGGGAGCGGGCGTGGCTGCCAGGTGGAAGCCGCTGCGCACTCCCACGGCTGGAATGCTACCCATGCCGGAGGACCGTGGTGATGTCACAGGGGTGACGGCCCGAGAGCATCTCAGAGCAAAATCGGGTGATGAGAACTGATTCCCGAAAGTGTCCCCTTAACAAATAACCAACACAGACGTCCTTTCTTGAGGTTACAGGGCACTCCTCTCCGGCTAGCACAGGTGGAAACAAGTCCCAGGCTCGCTCTTTACTCTCTCACCAAAACAGATCCCGAGCACACACCAACCCTTCTCATAAAAATCTTGTATCTCTAAGAATTGCGGCGACTTTTTCTGCAGCAAATCGCTACCTGGGGATGCTCAGTCTCACGTCAGAGAATGGCCCTGTGTGAGTCAAACTCTGATTCCTTTACTGAGGGGCTTCCCTGATTCAAACCTATTGCTATTTATTTACATATTTTATTAGAAGAACCCAGCCTTGTGCCTGCAGACCCACTTCCACTCGTCCATCGGGTAGACGTCACGCACAAGGTCGACCTGACAGGTAATAACCCACACAACAGGTGAACAGGCCCTCATCCTTCCGAGCACATCCCCTCCCTCTCGAGGTTGTCCCCCCTGGAGATCGTCCCCACCCCAGCCTGTGCTGGAAGCAGCTACACTTCCCTGTTCCTGAGCCTCCTGCAGCAGAAGATGTGGATGGTGCTTTCAAGTTCAGGTTTTACAAAACATTTTCTATAGTTTGACCACAAATGTGAAGACCAGAAAGACTGGTCTTCACATTTGGGTCAGTTCTTAGAGATAAAGATTCCTGCTGAATCATCTACACTGAGGAGAAAATCCTCTGTAAGAAATTACAAGTATCGCCCAGCCGGGAGTGGCTCAGCGGTTGAGCGTCGACCCTGGGATCCAGGCAATCAGGGTTCAATTCCCGGTCAGGGCACATGCCCCGGATGTGGGCTTGATCAGTGACTCTCATCATTGATGTTTCTGTCTCTCTCTCACCCTCTCCCTTCCTCTCTCGGAAATCAATAAAGATATATTTAAAAAAAANTTCCTCTCTCTGAAATCAAAAAAAAAATATTTAAAAAAAAAAAAAAAAAAAAAAAGAAATTACAAGCATCTCCATTTGGGTCCAGCCTCTACTTTGGGCCCAGTGAAGAGAAAGAGCACAGACAAGACTGCATGGGGCTGAGGTCAGCCGGCCAGAGCCTGACAGCTGGGGTGGGGAGGAGGGGGGAGAATGGGGGGCTGGAAAGGGCCCACTCAGACGGACCGAGTTGGGGGATGGATCCCTGAGCAGCACCCAAGGAGACTGGTGCCTCTAGTGTGCCCGAGTGGCACCCGTTGCACTGCAGACACTGGGCGTGGCCGGCCAGTGACAACAAGTGAGGCATCTGCAGTGAGGCTGCCGTGGGCTGGGTGCAGGCCACTCTGGCACGTCCCGGGTCCCCAGTGATGAGACTCTTCTCTGTAAGGGGACTCTGCCCAGGTGAGGGAGAAGGCACTGATGGGAGGGACCTCTAGGCGCCCTGCAGGTCTCGGCCCGGAGCCACCTGGGGGACTGCACCTCCTGTGATGGTGGCGCTGGACAGCCACCACCTCGGATGTAGCCAGTGTAGCTGGAGTAAACCAATTTCATTTTCATGAAAGGAAGAACCTTTTAAATGAATGAGAAGCAACATCTATGAGCGACTAACGCCCTGAGGCCTCTGCCTATAATTTATGAAAAGGCAGAAACAGAACAGTCTTCAAAGAAAAGACTTCTAGGAAACTGCTGTGAACACAGCACAAACCCCGAAGCTGACGGGACATCACACGTGACTCCTGACAGCGTTTACCACACGATAAACGGCTCCTCCTTCTGCTTCATGTATCTTCACCTTAAGTGTTTATATTGAAATACTGCTTTAAGATTTAATAAAATATTCTGATTTAAAATCTCAGACTCTTTCAAGAACATGAATATTTTAAATCACCTGGATTTAACTGCACTCGAAACGAGGCCGACCCAGCTGCTCTGCCCGTGCAGGGCTCCCCCCTGCCATTCTCAATGCGAGTGAGCCCGGCGTCTGGTTTTTACTTTTATAAATAAGCTGTATGGAGAGATCCTACGACAACTCCTCCATCAACGCTCAGAGGTTCTCACCTTCCCCTCTGAAGAGAAGGCCTGGCCCAACAGCACCCCACGAACCAGCTCCCCAGAAAGGGCTGCTGACAGTTGAGCCCCCAACTAGCCCCTGAAGGGCAGCCGGGGTGAATGAGTGCCTGGGGAGGGGACCTGCTCAGTGCCCACCTCCCACGTGCCAGCTGAGAAGTCAGTGGAGCAGAGTTGACATGGAGAATCCCTCCTGGGTTGGGGGCTGGCACATTTTCTGGAAGGGCCAGAGGGTAAGGATTTGGGCTGTGTGGTCCTTTGTCCTGACTGCTCCAATTGGCTGCAGCTGTGACCAATGCAGAAAGGAATGGGCCTGGCGTCCAGTACGGCTTCACTTACAGGAGGGGGAGGTCTGCAGTGCGACCATCCCCATCCCAGAGCAAAGCTCAGATAACCACATGTGATTTCTAAAAAGCACACATACTTGCTTACAACTGAAAGACGGAGCAGCCCTGGCTGGTGTGGCCCGGTGGCTGGCGCGTCGGCCTGCACACCAAGGGTCAAGGGTTCGATTCCCAGCCAAGGGCACGTACCTGGGCTGCAGGTTCGTTTCCAGCCCGGGTCAGGGTGGCCGTGGAAGCAACCAGTTGATGTGTCCCCTCCCTCCCTCCTTCTATAAAAGCACCTTGGGTGGAAAAACATCCTTGCATGAGGATTAAAGAGAAGAAAGAAAAATAGAACAAACACAAACATCGTCATTTATGCGTGGAGAACGCCAAGGAGAATTTACTTTTACGACCATCTCTCAATGCTGTTTCTCTTACCCCTAAACCGTTAATAACTATAAAAAAGTGTTTCTTCTTTAAACAGCTGGAGGCAGCTATGAAGAGCGAACAGAGTGGGATGCGGCGTGATACCTTTTTCTCTAGGGAGTTGCTCCACTCCTTCAGCAGGTTGACATGCTGCACCGCGGAGCTGGCCTCGTGGGCCTTGATCTGCTGGTTTGTCCCCTGCAGGACAAAGGTGAGAGCATTAAGCCAGTGCCACCCCAGTGAGCAGAAAGCCTAGCAGACGACCTGAAGCAGCACTGAACGAGAGCAGAGCCTGGTTTGGGGGACCTGACCGGGACTCCCGAGCCTCATGGGCAGTGCCCAGCGGCATACTGCACTGCGAGCGGGCAGGAGGCTGGCAGCCAGCGGCTCGGAGAAAGAGCTCTGCAGCTATACAGAGGCCTCAAGTTCATGTGCTTCACTCCTCAAACTCATCAAGGGCCTTCTCGGCTAAGTTTTGTACTTGTAATACCGAGAAAATAAATTTCAGATGTATCATTTTCGTTCCTTTATACATTTTTTCATTAAAAACATAGCATCTTGGAATTGCTTAGACAGCTTCAGTTACAGCTAGATACTGATGCAATAATCTAGTGAACATGTCATCAGACCAGGATTCTGAAGAATTCATCAAAATATTAACTTAGTAGTGAAGTACACTGTATCAGGAAATGTATCGCTCCTCACTGCTCTAAATATACTTAGAAAGTTACATACAAACATACACAATCTACAGAGTACATGAGATGTAGACCATCTCAGTAACAGATGCAGGAAATAGTTCTTTACATATTTAGGGAAATAATTGTATGAAAATATAATTTGTTTTGATACTGGAAAATTAAGAAGCCAGAGGAAGCATTTTAATGATCTCCAAAACATATACTCTGTACAGAGAATATTCATATGTATATGTTGATATAAGTATTGCCATATGTCAACATATGCATATTCAGACACAGAAGGAATGGTACTACATACGACATAACAGTGGTGGGGCTCCGTCTCCTTCAGAGACTGAGGCAAAGGGAAGCTGAAGTCCTTCTCATCCTCAGGCTTTTACTCTCTAAGACAATACCTCTGTACTGACCTCATAACGATGTATTGCTGATACGTAAAATTAAATATAAAATACTTTAGCCCTGGCAAATGTGACTCTGGTTACAGCGTTGGCCCACAGACCAAAGGGTGGCAGGTTTGATCCCTGGGCCTGGCTGGGGTGTTTGCAGGAGGCAACCCATCAATGTGTCTCTCTCACATCACTGTTTTTCTCTCTCTCTTCCCCCATCCCCTCTCACTCTCTCTAAAAAAAAAATCAAAAAAAAAAATCAATGAACAAAATATCCTCGGGTGAGAATTAACAACAATGAAAATATACTTTAATAGTAATAGATATAGTCTTTTCACAGTTTTAAGATTAAGATACACATTTAAATAAAAGCTCAGTTTGAATTCACTAGCAATGGCAGATGTGTTAAAAAAATAAACAGAAAGCCAGAACAGTTTTCTCACAGTACAGGTGAGGTAGTAACAGAGATGTCCTCTGCACGTCATTCTCCGGGGAGGTGTGGCTTGTGTGCAAAATGCATGTATGGACACACGTGTGTGACCCTTACGACTGCACTAATGTGCATTCGGCTAAAACCACGCCGGCTGGGTACTTACTCATATTCAGTTAGAGCCGACCTTTCCAACAGTCTCTCTAGAAAGCCCACCCACCGTCAGGCCTGTGCGTCCCACTCGCTAGCTGGTTTCAGACACAGCTGTTCACAGCACAGGTGTCTGTGTACCTGAAGTCTCAAACCACCACCGGCATGGGGAGTGAGAACCTCCTCCGCCCATGCAGGGGGTGATTCAGTTCCATGACACAGACTCGGAGTCCAGAGCTGGCACTGGGTTAAAATGTGAATGTAATAACTTTCTCTCATGGCAGAATTTCAGCGACTGGAAGGACAGGTGTCGGATACTGACCTGAAAAATGCAGCCATAGCGCTTAAAACTACAGGTGCTGGGGGCATTGACACACTCGGACAAGTGCGCACTCAACTGCAACAGGAAAGAGACGTGAGTTGTGGCACGAACGTTCGCATGGAAATGTTCAAACAGGTTAGAGGCACGGAGGCACCTGGGCTGCACCGTCATGAGCGGCGTGCACAGCCACAGATGTGTGCCCCCATCGGCCCCCGACTCCTCAGCAGTAAATTCACAGTATTGTCACGTGTATACACATATACAGAAATACGCTCACTGAAACGTTGCTTAAACTTGCATTTCTTTAGGATTGTTCCAATTGTGACATGCCGTCCGCAGTGCCAGAATTAAAAAAGTAAAAAACGTGAACTGAAATGCACATTTAAAGACTGCAAACGAAAATTGCATGAAACACAAAAAAGGAAGCATTTGGGATGCACTGGGCCACACACCTCGTATACAGCACACAAAATAAAGATGCTTCCACAGCAAGCTCACAGGACGGCGGCTGGGCTCAACACGCGAGGGGACTGGAGAGGTTTCCTTCTTCTAGGACTTGCCCTCTGCAGCCGTATGCTCCTATAACCTCCAAAGACCCTGAGGTCATCCTAACACATGGATCCTAACTGCCACCTCTAACTGGTGGGAGACAATTACGAGGACCGGGAGAGGTGACTCATCTTGCAAGGAAACCACTTTTGTGTATTTGTGCAGTTTACACTCATGGAATCCAATCCATTTGCACTTCTGATGCCCCCTCAGGGGAATAGGGGTCCAGATGCCTGTGCTGTGGACACAGTGCTGGGCACTGGGATGATGCAATTTAAGGACAGTTTCTCTCCTTTTACCGAGGAAATAAATTCTCATGAGGAAACTCTGGGGACAGACCATTCTAGGNCACAGTGCTGGGCACTGGGATGATGCAATTTAAGGACAGTTTCTCTCCTTTTACCGAGGAAATAAATTCTCATGAGGAAACTCTGCGGACAGACCATTCTAGGAACAATCAGACCCTAAACTAGGCAAAGGGGCATGGGGTGTGTCTTCCCGTGGGCCAGGGCTCCTGCACCCCAGGGGCCCACGGTGTGTCACTATAGGTCACTCCGGGTCACTGGTGGGCAGCTGGTTCAACTTCTCCTTGGTCTACAGGACACACAGGCTTTCCCCCTAGGTCAGCACTTAGGGCAGGGAGGAGAGTGGACCACAGGACGGCTCTCTCCCTGCTGCGACTGCTACGGAGGAGAGCCAGTGCCAAGGGGGTGGCCAGAGGGACCTGCCTGACCACAGCCAAGGCCACCTGTGTGGGAGGCCTCCGAGCCAGGGCAGCCGTGGTTGCCGGCGTAACCACCTAGCGCACCTGGTATTCCTGTGAACCCGGCCTGGAGACTCAGGCCTGCGCCTGGAGCAGAGTGCCTAGAGGGCCATCACAGGTGGCCGCACAGACACCACGAGGGATGTGCGGGGTGACGGCGGTTTGAACCTGTGAAACGTGCTTTCCTGCTGCCCTCACCACCACCGGGACCCGAGCAGCCGCCACGGCTGCTAAAATCAGGGACACAGCGAGTTTCATGTGATTTTCAGGGGCTACTATGAATTCAGGGTCACGCTTTTCCCTAAATTGGCCTTATTATCATTACTTTCAAAGCCTTATAGAATTTACAGGCGCTCTGGAATAGAGGCAATAATAATCTACAACACCTTTCACCAGAAACCCAAGATAAACGCAGGTTTAAAGATTTTTTTGAAATAAAAATAACTTCGAGGCCAAATGGAGCAGCTTTTGTCCCTAATTCAGACAGCCCTGGGGAGTAAAAACTTAGCAAATTGTATAAAACCCTAGAAATTGTTCTAACAACACAGACTCTTTGCATGTTCACGCTAAGGGAGGGGCTTTCTAGTCGTGGAAACCATCAACGAGAGCTTCCCGCTATCCTAGAGCCACGGAGGGCCCAGGGGCGAGTTGCCATGTGAGACCGTGCCTGCCCCCAGCAGTCGACCTCTGCAAGGATGCACCTCAGGTGGGAGCGGCTCCCGGGGTCCTCCCTGCACCCGCATCTGTCGCTCAGTGGGGACATGAAGTGACCCTCCCTACCCTGTATCCAGTGGTAAAATCCCAGCTGCTGCAAAGGCTGAGAGGACACAGACACCCATGGAGCCCTAGATGGCGCCCCAAACGGCAACCAAAAGGGCTCCAGATCAAGATTAGATGCAGAAACATTAAGCACTCTTGAAATTTTTCCATCTGGATATATACTGATCAAGTGAAGCTCCTGCAAAATCTACCTGCCTTGCAGAAGGTGTGGCTGAGGGAGGCGTGAGCCATGCGCCCTGGGGAAGGGGCCTCCCCAGCAGCCCCTGAAACACAGCTGCTTGCTTCCAGCGTCAGCCCACATAGTGTGTGCGGCCAAAACGGCTCTGCAGCATCTCTGAATCAATTCATTTTCTTGGGATAATCTTACAGTAATTCCTGTTTTACAGAGTTAAAAATAGCTTCTTTTTAAAAGTGTCTCCTTTGCTGGCATTGTAAAATAATCCCATTTTCTTAATTCTTAACAATATTCTGCTCTGAAAAGCTACTCTGTAGCTTTTAATTACTTGTTTCTAAAATCTGACTCCCAACAATAGCAAGGTTTCCCCCGGGTTTTCTAGTATCCACATCACCACCACTGTGATCTGCGAAAACCTCAGGGTCCAGCTGTTAAGGGAAGAGGTGTGCCGATGGCTCGTGAACCCCGATGTGGGCACAAACCCTGCGCTGGGCTGGCCACACTCTTACCTCGCTCCGCAGGAGGGTCTGGACTCTGCACTTGTGGGGGCAGGACACCACCACACAGGGGCAGTCGGTATCTTCGTGTTTCTGCAGGAGGAGAAGAAAGTGTCATCAACTTTGAAACGCTCAGATCCCGCAGTATCCCGACATGGCCCCGAAGGAAGCTCTCTGCTCACGGTCACTGCTCTGGAGTCTCGACATGCACAAGACATCAGGATAAGCCCTTACACGGAAAGAGTGCTGAAAAATGAGGTATCAGAGAAGACCAGCTCGCCGATGAGTTACAGTGTTGTGGGAGCAGCGTCTTCTCAGCGGCACCCGGGGCCCACACGCAGTGAGGGCACTGAGACCAGCCCCGCCCTGCCTCTGCTGGTCAGAGAGGACGGTTTCGTGTGGCCTCTCAGTGTGGGGTCTGGAAATGATGCTTCTCAAATACCGGGAACAGTGAGACCTCCTGGGTGTTTAAATTACTGCCCTGAAATCTCAGTGAGATTATCTTCGGTGCGTGGAAAATATGGATAAATCCTGCTCTTCCTTGGATGGCACAGATCTCAATTGATGGGGCCAGAGTGATGGTGACTGTTCAACTCAATGCCACGGGCACCTGTCTCATGCTCCATAGTGAAGTGAGGGCAAGAGCCCCAGTGGACAGGCGACAGGGCTAAGCATGCAGGTGGGGCGTCCAGTGGGAGGACAGGCTCCGGGGCCTTCCTATCCTCCTCATCAGGGCTCAGGGTCTCTCTGGGCCTCCACCATCAGGCTGCTGTTATGCTGACTTACGGGGAGTCTGGCCAAGCGCCTCAGTCTGGGCAGGTATGGAGGCCAAGGCCAAGGGTGGCCCATGTGAGCGAGGGCACTCCTCTCCTCTGAGGAGGCCTGGAGCCAAGCCCCACACTCTGCTTTCTTTGGCATGGTTTTGGGACCCTTGTCTCCATGGGTGCACTGCAGGTCTGCAGCATGGAGGTGGCCTATGGCACACGCTGCCCTGCTCATGGGCCAGGTCCTCAGAGGCCCTGGAAGGTGACTGACTCACAGGCCTCCTGCAGGCACTGGCTGTGGATTTCCATCCTGCCTCCCTCTGCTCAGGATCCTGAGTGCCCAGGGACCAGTCTTTCAGTGAGAAACCTGGAAACAACGACTCTACCTCTGCCTTATCTGTAAAACGGAGGAGTGGGCCGGAGCCGTGAGGGATGAACCAGTCTTGGGCCTGCAGAGCTCACAGGGCAAATGCTCCATCTCTTCCCTGAACCTGCCCTGATCCCACCTTCTCACTCTGGGGAGAGTGAGAGGGGACAGGAGGAGAGCTCCAAGGAAGAAGTGAGGGGCGGGGGCAGTGTTCT